TTCTGTAAACACTTCTCCTTAATGCTACATCGTTTCTACTTAAAGCCAATTTAAATTAATTTCATTTCTTAAATTTCCTAGAGAGCTGACAGCAGGGTTTGAGTTTATAGGAAGAGCATGAGGTGAAGCAGGAAGTGAGATTAGAAATCTCTGGCATATGACAAACTTGATCAAGTTCTCGGGGTCCACTCAGAAGGGACACAGCAGAACATGTTTAACTTTGATTTTTCACTTGCCTTAGCCAAGGAAAAAAATGTTAAAAGAGGGGAAAAGAGGTGCTATGAATAACTATTACACACACACACACACACACACACACACACACGCACGCATTGCATGAACACAAAAAACCTACAATTGCCAGACAGAACAGCTGGAAGATAGATGTGCAATTTTGGTAAGGTTGTGTTATTAATACAATTGCTTATTTTAGAACAAGCAGTCTTAGGACAGTCGTAAAACTTATTAAAAGTGGATTTTTCCATGAGTCTATATGTATTTTTAAAGCACACCCCATGAAGTAACTGCCGTGTTGTTCTGAGCTGTACGTAAGCAAGTCATTTGTTTAAAGGAAATTTCTGGTTCCACTAAAGAGTTCTAGGTTAGAGGTTTTTGCTGAGGCTTTTATGTGTTAACTCTCATAAAAACTCCTTCCAATCTGGGCAGTTTTCTCACCGTCGCCCTCTCTCTGTTTCTAATTGTGAGTTTCTCTGGGAATAAATACCACTTGGAGCTCAGCGCTGCCAACCCAATCTCCTCATTACTGGGCATTTAGAATAGCTCCTCAGTTTGACCTGTCCTTGAAATACTCCACTTTTGTCTTGGGCAAGAAGCGGAAACAAAGACTTTATGGAATTAAAAGCTGAATAAAACTGCTAGAGGCGACGTGAAGGTCGCGAGTTGGGCCGCGCTGGTGTGGATTCCTCCTCGTCTTCCTGCACGGCAGCTTTGGGCTCGGCTGACCCGCAGCTGCAGCATTTCATCGAGGTGGAGACTCAGAAGCAGTGCTTCCAGCAGATGGTGCACCGGAGGACGGAACTTTGTTGGGAAAAGTGCATGGACAAGCCTGGGCCAAAGTTGGGCAGTCGGGCTGAGGCCTGTTCTGTGAACTGCATTGAGCGCTTCATTGACACAAGCCAATTCATCTTGAATCGACTGGAACAGACCCCGAAATGCAAGCCAGTCTTCTCAGAAAGCCTTTCGGACTGACCTCAGCGTTACCTCTTTGGAAAAGGGAGGTAATTCAAGAAATGAAGAGCAGTTGATGGGACGGTTGAAGAAATGGCCGTGGGTGGATCGGCTCCCACCTCTGCCACTCTTGGGACATCCTGTCATCTGACAACGAACAAAGACTGATTTTTGTGTGGGGGTGGGTTTGAGGGTCAGATATGTTTGGGGTTGTGTTTTTTAATGCTAATCGTGGGAAAACAATTGACAGATGAATGGAAGACTCTACCAGATGTGTATTTACCGTATGTGGGACAATGCTTTCTTCATAGTCCCAGGAACCGCTTCCAATAATTTTAGTAGTGGAACTGCTCTATGATTTGATAGCGGGACCACATAGGTAATAATCTGTACAATTTGTGTGGATTCCTTTCAGATTTCTGGAGAGATCGATATACATCTTTGTGTCTCTCAGAAAGGTCAGCAGTGGGAGACGGAGTAATTTGGTGCTTGACTGTAGGCCTCCTTATCTAGTGTTTGATTATCAGTGCTGGAAAAAAAATGTATGGAGTATTCGTGCAGTACATTTCACCTTTCTAGATTATCTCCCTCCTTTATACTGTGATTCCCTTAAATATCTATATAAAGTACAGTCTCGAGCTAGTACAGGTACCTTAGAGTCTAGAGGCCTTTAGTTAAAGGAATCTAGCCAGCGAACATAATTCTCATACTAAACTGCCACAAGGAAGAGGTTAACTTACCCTGTATATCAGGGTCCTCCAAAATATAAAGATGTGCCTAAATGAAACAATAAGTTATAAAGATTTAGGCCAGTCAAAAACTAACAGCAGTTTCAGATAGAGGTGCATGCCTAATGTAAATCAGCATAGTTTCCATTTACTGTGTTCTTTTAATCACTGAAATAAAAGCTTCTACAAGAAAAAACAAACAAACAAACAAACACGCTAGAGGCACTGAAAGAGGGTGGAGGTAAAGCAAGCATCCCCCTGAAAACCGTGCAGCCACTGCCTCCTTCATCCATGTCCATCTGCCTGGTTCCTTGTCCTTGTTCAAAACAGGAAGCTCAACCAGAAAGACTGAGCTGGTCCTGTGAGCATTTCCAGGAGGACACGGAGCCACCATCTCTTGGGAGAGGGGTCTGAACGAGCCTGCAATGGGGCAGAGTCACCTCAGGGGTCAGGGTGGGTACTCCCACATTCTCTTCTTGAGAGTTAGCAGGTGACACACAGCCTGCCATCTCACATATATAATTTGGTTTATTTTCCCCAAAGGCATGCTCTTCACACTGGGCCCTTCTCGGGTCCCTCCAGAGGGTCTCTTTACATAGTTCTCCACTGTTCGTCCCCTTTAGAATCAGCTCCCAGGTCTCCTGTGGAGGTGGTCTGGCACACAGCTCTCTCCCCTCCCCTTATCCCGCATCACACCATCCTGCTGGCCCCAGTCCCAGCTCCCCTTCCTGGGCCCCATGGACACCCCCAGAAGAAGTGACTGATGGGCAACCCAAGTGGTTTCCCCAGACCAACCTCAATTCCAGCATCCCTGCTGGTCACACGCAAGGGCTCGGCTTAGCTATCACAACCCGTTTCAGAAAACACACCCTGTTCCCACACAATTCTCCCTTCTGCTCCCTCTGACGTGTGTATGCGTGTCAGCCTGACCACTACAGATTCCATGAGAACGAGGACCACTCCCGATTCCTCAGGCACCCAGCAAGGACTTGGGCTGCTGAGGCCGGGTGTTGGAGACCTTCCCCAGGGCTGCTTCAGCTCCTGTCTCTGGTGTCCTACCTGCTCCACCTTCTCGTCAGACTCACTGGGAACCCTGCAAGGACTGTGGACCTGGAGGAAACAGCTGCCCACGAGGCCATAGAGAAAGGGGCATATTGTGCCTCTGACTCATGACCCCTGCAGTGCCATGCCCATCAGCTGCTGTGATTTCACTACCAAGAGAAAGGGAAGGGAGGGAGAAGATAGATGGATGGATAGGTAGAGAGATAGATAGCAGATAAACAGGTAGATACATAGATAAATGATAGAATAGATAGCTAGATAGGTAGATGAATGGATGGATGGATAGTTAGATAGAGGGTAGATATAATGAATGGATAGATAGATTATAGAATAGATAGACATAGATAGCAGATAAATAGGTAGATACATAGGTAAATGACAGAATAGATAGACAGATGAATAAATGAATGGATGGATAGATAGATGGTAGATATAATGGATGGGTAGATAGATTATAGAATAGATAGACATAAATAGATAAGTAGACACAGAGAGAGAAGGGAGAGAAAGAAAAAGAAAGAAAGAAAAAAAGAACAAAGAAAAAAAAGAAAGAAAAAGAAAAGAAAGAGAAAGAAAGAAAGAAAGAAGAAAGAAAGAAAGAAAGAAAAAGAAAGAAAGAAAGAAAGAAAGAAAGAAAGAAAAAGAGAGAAAGAAAGAAACTCACCCAGCGCAGAGAGGGGATGCTGCTGGGGTCAGGGGCCGTGGAGGCATCAACTTATCACAGCCTCTGAGGACAAGATGGATTTTGTAAATGCCTTATGGAAATTAGTCCTTGGCCCTCAAGGCATAAATCTTGATATTGAAATGATTTACCCCGACTCTACTACTATTAGTGCTCTGTAAATTAGGGCCATAAATGCCATTTGCGTTGCCATTAGCAGAAGACAGTCCAGCCGGCTCCCCTCGGCACGCACAGACACCCTCGGCCCTCCTTCCCTTCCCTCTGTCTTCCCTCTCCCCACGTCCTTCGTCGGGGCTGCTAGCCAACCGTTCCACCCACACGGGTACCATCACTCGCTGGCCGCACCAACCCAGCATGTGTGCCCGGTTCGATACTGCATTACAGTCTCCTTGAGACCTCCATTCCTGAGATCTAGGGGGGAAAAAAGTTCATTATTTACGAGTGCAGAGAAACCTCTACCTTTGCTGCTCAGTTTGAAGCACGTGTTCTGTAGAATCTCCAGCCTTTTGCTGAATATCATTAGTCAAGTAAAGGCTGATGGCCAGTGTCTTGGATCTGGCGGGATTTATATCTCGAGAATAAAGGAAGGCGGGTGCCTGGTGTGAGAGGGAAACAGAGGACGAAAAGGAAGGCTCGGTTTGGACAGGAGCTTTCCAAGGAGCTGGAGAAAAGAGCAGGGGCTGTGAGGTGGGAAGGCTTTCTTTTTTAATGTTTCTGCACATCTTTTCTGAGATGCCCCGGGCTGATAATTCAGCACTCAGCACCCACACACAAAGAGAAAGGAGGAGCTGGGGTCCCTGCAGCCTCACAAAGAACGGGGCTGTTCCTCCATTCCTGACACGCTGACACCCACTGTACGCCCTTAACAGCCAGGAGAGCTCCCCACCCTGGTCTCTGGGATTTCTGTTTCCTGATCCTTTCATCGAAGATTTTGTCTTTGGGAGGCTCCCAGTCTTGGGGTGAGAGTCACCATCTTCATCATGCCCACTGCCATAGATTGAATGTCTGTGACCCCACCCCTGCCAAATTCATGTGTGGAATCCTAACTCCCAGTGGAATGGTGTCAGGAGGTGGGGCCTCGGAGAGGCGATGAGGTCATAAGGGTGTGCCCCCCAC